TTCTTTAAAAATATCGAATATATCATACTTAAATTCACCCCTTCTACCATACACCTTTATCCTCCCCTCCCCCCATTCCTTGAATTGTTTCAACATTTTTCCATTCACATACATGTGCACCTGGTATTTACACCATATTCACCTTCCTACAACTTTTCTCCCCTTTCTCCCCTTCCTATGGGTACCAACCTGCACAGATAAGACCTATTCAACCCTCCTATTCTTCAATTTTGTAAAACAAAAAAAAAAGACAGTTTTGCTTTTTCAAGATAGCTACACAGGGAGTTTCCTTATGGCACTTCCATGTATATATGTATTATAGCCCTAGATGGTTCATCTACTCTGTTTTTCTTCTTTCTACCTTAGTCCCTTTCTTATGGTTGTTTCAACTAGTTTAAAAATTCCATATTCATTCTTGTACAGAGAGTTTATCAACCATATTCACCTTCTTTACTCCTTTTACCTTCCCCCTTCAAATGTGACCTCATCTTAGTATGACCTGTTTTTCATAATGTTGTTATATTTGTTTTAGGTCTACATTCTACATATAAGAGAACACATGCAGCTTTTGGCCTTCCAAACCTGGCTAATTTCACTTAAGATGATATTCTCCAGTTCCATCCATTTACCTGCAAAAGACAAAATTTCATTCTTCTTTGTGGCTGAATAAAGTTCTGTTGTATATAAATACACATTTTCTTAATCCATTCAGCAGTAGTGGGGCATCTTGGTTGTTTCCATAACTTAGCTGTTGTGAATAGCACTGCTATAAAAGTGGGTGTGCAGGTGCCTTTGTTTTAACCTGACTTACATTCCTTTGGGTATATACCTTGGAGTGGAATTACTGGATCATATGGCAGTTCTATTTTTAGGTTTTTGAGGAACCACCATACTGTTTTCCACAGTAGTTGTACTTATTTACATTCCTAACAGCAGTATAGTATACACCCTCACCAACATTTATTGTTGTTTGTGTTCTTGATGGTTACCATTCTAACAGGAGTGAGTGGAATCTTAACGTGCTTTTGATTTGCATTTCCTTTATGGCTAGGGATGTTGAACATTTCTTCATGTGTTTTTTAGCCATTTGAACTTCTTTCTTTGAAAAAGTTCTGTTCAGTTCTTTTTTCCATTTCTTCATAGGGTCAGTGATTTTTTTGGGAGTTTAGTTTTTTGAGTTCCCTATATATTCTGGTTATTCATCCTTTGTCAGATGTATAGCTGGCAAAGATTTTCTCTCATTCTGTGGGCAGCCTCTTCAATTTAGAGACCATTTCTTTTGTTGTACAGAAGCTTTTTAATTTCATCTAGTCCCATTTGTCAGTCCTTTCTCTTAGTTGCTGAGCCATTTGAGCTCTGTTGAGGAAGTCATTGCCTATGCCTATTAATTCCAGTGTATTCCCCACTCTTTCTTGCACTAGCTTCAAAATTTCAGATCTCATATAAGGTCCTCAGTCCACTTTGAGTTGATACTTGTACAGGGTTTCAAACATGGATCTAGTTTCAGTTTTCTGCCTAAAGATATCCAGTTTCCTGGAAACATTTGTTGAAGAGGCTGTCCTTTTTCCATTGTATGTTTTTGGCTCCTTTTTCAAAAATCAGGTGGACGTAGCTGCATGGATTCATATCTGGGTTCTCTGTTCCACTGGTCTTCATATCTGTTTTTGTGCCAGTATCATGCTGTTTTTATTACTATGGCTCTGTAGTACAGTTTGAGTTGATATTGTGATACTTCCAGCATTGTTCTTTTTGTTTGGTATTACCTCGGCTACTCACAGTCTTTTGTGCTTCCCAGTGAACTTTAGGGTTGATTTTTCAATCTCTGTGATGAATGTCATTGGAATTTTGATGGGAATTGCATTGAATATGTAGATTACCTTTATTCACCTGAAGATATTTCAAAACATCTCAGGGAACTCTCTTACATACCCAGCAGCCTTTTCTTAAACTTACATGTTCTTTATTTAGTCCAAAAGATACAGCATTTTAATTTTCTAAAAATTAGATAATAGAACAAATTAAATATCAATAGGTTAAGTTTCTCCATCAAAATAAAATTAATTTGCAAGAAGAAAATGTTTAAAAATATGTAAGTTTTTAGACTTTGTTAAAAATATAAAGTTAGATATATGCTAAAAAATAAATGGTGCTAATTACCCAGTTTTGTTGTTCTTATGAAGTGTTACATTTTTTATGCAAGACATTGAAAATATTTATTTAGCTGGATATCTGTGGCTTGTGCTTCTAATACTTAGGATGCTGAGATTGGCAGGATTGTGTTTTGAGGCCAGCCCAGGCAAAAAGTTTGGGAGACTCCATCTCAATTGATAGCTGACTGCAGTGCCACATACCTGTTATATCATGCCACAAGGGAGGCTGAGATTGGGAGGATCACAGTTCCAGGCCAAATCAGGAAAAATGATTGTGGGACCCCATTTCGATGGGAAAAAGCTGGACTGAGTGGCACATGACTGTCATGCCATTGACCGTGGGAATTGTAAACTAGGAGGATCATGATCTAGGCTGGCTGGGGAAAAGGCAAGACCCTATTCCCAAAATAGCCAGAGCAAAAAGGGCTGAAGGTATAGATCAGGTGGTAGAGTGTCTGAATAGCAAGTGTAAAGCCCTGAGTTCAGCCTTCAGTACTGCCAAAAATTTATTTTAATTAACAAATAAACCTTGTGTGTATCATGAACAACTATTTTGAAACATGTACATTGTGGAATGGTTAAGTGAAGTTAATTAATAAGCATTACTTCTCATACTTGACATTCTCTTATGGTGAGAACACTTCAAGTGTGCCTGTCTATATAGGTTGTCAGTATATAGAATACTTAGTATGAATCTGTGCTTTTCGTTACTTATTTGTATAAAGCAAAAGTATAATGCATGTTTAATATTAAACTGAAGTCATACTGAAGCTACTGTAAAAAAGGCACTCATAATATTGACAGTTATGATGAATAAACATGTTTTAGAAAATGCAGTTTCAAACACAAATTTTTGTGAAGAAAAATAGTGATCAAATCACTAGTTTACCTTCATTGCAGTATTTTGACTATTTTGAAATGAATTTGATACAGTCAAAACAATCCATCCGTATAATAAACTATAGCCTGGACAACTAGCACAAGGAATGCAAAAACTGACTAGAGTAACCCGAATAAGCCAAAATATTAAGTGGTATTCTTGCTTAAAAAATATTTTCTGTCAACCCTTTTTTTCATTGTTGTTTGGTTAATATCTGCCTTCAATAAAGTGTAGGAAATAGAATATTCTTATACATCTATTTAGTTGAAAGATTTTTAAATATTGATTTCAAGTAGTCAATACATCTGTATAAAAGGTTCTTGGAAAGAACACCTAAAATGCAAAATATCAATTTTTGGTTGTGTTAACTTGGATGTATAAGAATATCCTATTTCCTACACTAGGTGATAATATCTTGGTTGCTCTTATTCCTCTTATGCTTATTTGCATTAACAAAACTTTTTTGTGTGTAGTTCTGTGGATTGAACCCAAGGCCTCATGCATGCTAGACAAGTGTTCTACCATTGAGCCACCTCTCCAGCCTCCTGCATTAATACATCTTTATATAGGTATGCATCATTTATTTAATGAGAAAAATTACCCATATAAAATTATACGTTATTATTCCACATAGATGCATACAGATGTATGTTGTAACAGAGATAAAATCAGATCCCCAGCATCATTAGGATGACTAAACTCTGGAAATGATCATCGTTATGTCTTTGGAAATGGTAGGCTGAAATTCTTTTCTGAGACTAGTCAATAAAATCTATTTCATTAGATACATATGTTTTCAGTGCATCTCTGAAAATGTATTCTGTTGAAACTATTTACATGAAACTTATATGTAACATGGTTTAACCCCTCCAGACCTCTATAATTTACATCGGGCTCTTCTCGACACAGGCCATTAGACCCTGGACTTGGGCTCAAACTTTCCCCAGAGGAACAATATTCCAGTAGCTGGAATTTTTATACTTAAAGTTCAGCAAACCCAGCAGGTTTGATTACCATAAGGAGCTGGGGTTCTCAAGTGTACCAAGTCAGTCATCTCACACCTGTAACTCCAGTCAAACTGAAATTCATACCTCTGAGCAGTGCTTCACTTGCCACGTGTTGGTGTATGCTGCACTTCCACCTGGAAGGTGGTTCCTCCTCATTCCACACCTCTAGCACCAATCATGCCTGTCTTTAAAAGCCCTGTTAATTATACACTACTCAAGGAAGCCTACTTTCCTCACTCCCAAGTGGGCCACTCTTCCTGTTTCTAATCTGTCTCCAAGGCCCAAAAACCACTTTGGACCCACTCCATCAAAATGAATCTCTCAATGCTGCCCTTGACCTTCTATACTTTCTATTTTCTGCTTTAAGTTCTTTTGGACACTAGTTGAGAGATAAAAATAAATAATTAACTTAAAATTACATTTATTAATCCACATTTTTCACTCTGGAGTGTGCCTTGCTTCTTCTACTGGTTTATCAAATTTGCTAGAGTAGGGTCAAATTTGCCACTTGTATCTGTAAACACAGAGGGCATAGTACCTATGTTGAGTACATAGTAAGTCCTGAACATAGGTTTATTGTATTAAAGCCTTGGTGCTAGAATCCTGTAATCACAAAGGATCATGGCCATGACGCTACTGAGAACTGGAGCACAAATCTCCAAACACGTCTCTGAGAGGACACTTGCTCTCTTTGGAGGAAAGCATCTACCTGAGGGGGCCTCAGTACTTCTGAGCAGGGATAAAGGACTCACAGAAGTCACAGCCACACTCTAGGCACACAGCTTTATTGTTGCTGAAAAGCTGCTCAGCCTAGTTCTCACTTCTCACATGCTAGGGACCAGGAAAAGTGTTCTCAACCCAAAAGAGAGGTGGAGGGTCTGGGCTTCCAAGTAGAATTAGTACATGAAGTTGGTTGGGGAGAGAGCAGCTATACTTGTGTCCTGCTCCTCTGTGCCTGGTTCCTTAGCATTCCTCCTCTTTGCAGTGGTAGGTTGTGCCACCACTGAGGCAACGGGGCTTTCGGCGAGCCCTCCTGGGGTGAGCTGCACTCTGAGCACGGGGTTTCTGGGGGCAGGAACAACAGTCTTCTTGACAGGAAGCCATACAATGATCAGAGCAGGAAGTCAGGCAGGAGTGTGGGCATTGGGGTGGAGAGCATTTGGGAACATTTGGAGGTTTCCAAGATTGCTGTTTCTGCTGTGACATTGTTCAGCTAATGTGTTAAATCTGGAAGAGAAATGGCATGTGGTTATGTCAGAGACCCAGGCAGCTTGAGTGTTTGTCTTTCTTCTCTAGGAGCTGGAGTTGTCAGCAATAGAGCTTAGCATTAACAACCTGCTGAAGTCCATCCCGGGAGAAGGAACAACAAAATCAAAAGAGTTAAACACTTGGGGATGTAAAGTCTGAAAGGAATTCCCAGATATCTCACTCACCAACATTCAGGTTAATAACTTACTCTTCCTCTTAAGAAAAGGAAAATAAATCAGAATCTAGCTCAACTAACAGTTCACTTTTCCCAGGCTGGTGTCTACCACAGTCAAGTAAAAATGACAACCAAGTCTCTGCTCTTTCTCCACTCAAGCTTATTCTGACCTGAGACCACTAAACTTGAGTGAAGTCTTTCCTCTGTTTCTCTGGCCCTCTGGCATCTATGGTTTTCTCCCATGTCAAATTATTTGGGATCTTTTTTAAGGACTTCTACTTCCCTTCCTTTCTCATTCCCTCAAACTTCTTCTACCTGGCTTAACAGCACCCTGGAAGAGACAATACGGGAAATCAGGACTGCCTTAGCAGCTCCCCAGTAAGGGATGTCCAAGTGTCTCTCCACCTAGAAGTAGCCTTACCCTAGAGGAAGATGAGTGAGCAAGCATCCCAGGAGGAGTCTGGAGGCCTTGTGGGGACAGGAAGGCGGAAGCTTTTTTATACATCATCCAACTAAAGCCTCCAGGCAACCTCTTATTGGAGGACAGCCATGGGACAGATGACCTATCTGGATGTTTCACAATTCCGAGTACTGGATTCCTTAGCTACACTCAACTGGGAAGTGATGCAAAGGGATTTCCATGTGAGGGAGCCATCAGAAGACTAAGGCCTTCAGATTGGCCTGGGTGGAAGTGGGTGCACTGACCCAGTCTTATGACAGCCCTAGGTTGTTGACCAGGGGTTTAAGTGCTGCTATTGAGTTCTATTTAGGACAGGGAATATGAGGTTTAATGCCATGCAGAGTCTGAGGAAAACCCTTGCTGTCCACACAGTCACTTATGACTCAACGTACAGATGCATGCCATGGGCCCCACGGCACTTGCCTGATTCCCCAGCCACATTAGAGTTCTACATTCTCTGGATTCTAGGCTGTCTCTTACAACCTATATAGCTACTCTGGATCATGGTGACCTAGATGCATATCTTATCTCCTCTACTAAACTGTTTCTAGATGACAGGGACCTTATCTTTATCACTTCTGCATTCCCAGAGCCTGATGCTGTCTGACAGAAAGAAAATGTTCATTAATATTTGTTAAAGAAACAAGCAATATGCCATTAAAGTAGACTTCGTATTTCAGGAGAAAAATTAGGACAATAAAGCCCAATTCATTCTTCTTTTTGAATCAGATGTTCATGTCATGTTTCCATAATTCTCAGCTAAGACATTCGTGAAAGTATGGGCGCAGCTCACCTTACACAACAGGCTGAGAAGGGGCAGAGAGAATAATGTTCATGATTCTGCTTCCTCTAAGATATAGAAAGGGAGTTGTGTGTGTACTTACCAAGGAATCCTGTGGAAAAGCCTTCCAAAGAATGAAAAGCTTTCCTTCATCTTTAATAAAAATTGATACTATTCCATGTTGGGTGTCTTAATGTGGGAATACTCTCATCTGCCTACAGTCTCTCACTTCTGGATACTTCCAGCTGGAAATCACTACTAACATGCACAGCTATTTAAAGATACTGATAAACAATCTGTCCATAGGGATATAGGGATTACATTTTAGCTACTTCTGTATTCCTAATTTCACACACACACACACACACACACACACACTGCAATTAGGAAACAAGTGAGAAAAAGATGAGCAATTATAAGGGATCATACAAACATTCCTCAAGTCAAATATAGCTCAAAGGAAAGCAGTGCTGGAGTGGGATAGGTATAAGGATGTATCTAGGATGCAAAACAGGAGAAGGCCAAAAAAGGAGCTACTGCTGGAGCCCAAAATCCAACAGGGCAGGATTACTGGGGCACACCTGCTTCTTCTGGGAAGACTTTGCATGTAGTTGGGACGAAGGATGAGAAAAGTCCTTGTGAGCAAAACACCACCACCATGTGGGAGAATGGTATGCAGCCTATAGGATGGGAGAGAGAGAGTCACAGAGAGAGAGAGAGAGAGACTCTGACCTCAGATATGAGACCCCTTCTTCCTTCCTTCCTCTCCTCTACCCCCTCAGGCACAAGAAATAACTCTGATTGCTCCTCAGGAGTATTTTACATGCACTAAGCATTAGTGGGAAGGCAATGTGACTCTAATCTCCAAGGTATCTATTCTTCCTTTTCCCCACCCAAGACATAAACCCATGTTATGGAAGCCTGATGCATCACATGCCCATTTCTTTGAATTTGACCAATAAGCACCCAACCCTTATAATCCATATCAAAGGGCTGATGATTCTTTCTGGGGGTTCTTCCCTGAGCACAGTGCTGTAGGTGAACTACGTATCCTTTCCTCTTTACATCTCTCCCAGATCACTCCTTATAATAAATCAACCACAGAAATCTCTAGGTGCAGTCGTTTTCACTAAGCCAATTTAATTACATATAGGTTGCTGTTGGGGTCAACTCCAAAAAAGATTTGTACTTACAAAGGAGTATATTCAACTTCTAAGTTTGCTTAGCTCACAAAGAGAGGATTTTCAAGGCTCTAGAGTTATACTATCTTCCAAATGGACTTATAAGTCCAGTTAGTTCTAAATCAAGACCCTAGAAATTTAATGTTCTTCAATTCCCCACTCTACCTCTCTTCCTAGTTCAGGTTGTATCTAAAAGTAGAATTCTGTAACTTGAAATTTATTAAGCACAACTGTGTACTGTATATAAGAAGGAATAAAAGACCCATCTCATCCTTCAAAACTCTCACCTAGAGAGAAAGTAGATGTATTAAAAGATAGTAACTGGAAGATGGAGAAACAGAGAAGCATGTGAATTCTGGTCGTAAGTGGAAAGTGGATTTAGTAAGCTTAAATGTATCAAATTAGAATGACAGTGTCTGTAGAGATATGGCTCCCACTACTATGAGTTGAAGACAGCACCCCATTCCTGAGAATAATCCCTTCTCATTTCCAGTCACTATTCACAATCCAATTTATCTGAGCAATAGAGGCACCTCCAGGCCTCTTATCTCAAATGAGGCTACTCTAATTCCTACACATCTGGACTTTTCTTTGTTTCCATTCCTCTGGTGCCCCAAATAATCTGGATATTTCTGAGACAACTCTCCAAATATATATTTAAAATATTTTATCTTGATTTATTTTTCTGTGAATAATTGCTCTGTTAAATGTTATGATATTATCAGGGCATTCTGATGTCTTCAGGATAAATCTAGACTCCTTTGGTCAGCATTCAAGGACCTGTCTACTTGAGCCCCATCTTATAATTTCATATTTAGCTCTTGACATTTCCTTTCATCATTATATGCCCTCCTCTGCTGAATGAATGGATCCATTGTATGGTTGATTGACTTTTATTCTTTCTATCTTTCTCCATCTTTCTCTCCCTTCCATCCTTTCTGTTTCCCTCTCCTTCTTATTCCTTCCCTCTTTCCCTTCTTTCTTTCCTCCCTCCTCTCTCTTTCTCTCCCTTCCATCCTCCTTCTCTCTCCTTCCTTCCTTCCTTCCTCCCTTGCTTTCTTTCTCTCTCTTTTTCTCTGTCTCTCTCTTTCTTTCTTTTACCTTTCCATTTTCTGATAGTTCCTCTTCTGAGCATTCCCCCTATATTCTCTGCACTAGGTTCCTGAGCAAGAAAGTCTTTCAGAACATTTATTATGTTATGCATATAATTTATTATGATCAACATATTATTAAATCTGAGATTGTAAACATTTTGAGCAAGGGGCTATGACTCATACATCTTGTAACCCCTTTCAGTGTATACAATGTTTCATTGTACATACTGGTTAAAAGATTTTTTAAAGTCCCCATTGCTAGAATTTTCAAAACTCTTTAGTTTGCAGGATGCCTTCCCAATGTTATGTTCTGAGTTGATTAATTTGATGAAATATGGACTCAGATTATGACAAAATCACACACAATGAGGTTGAGATAATCCGCATCACACTTGTGAACACCTCAACAATAATTTTGAGTATATTTTTTACTTAGATTGTGTCAGAGTTCAGTTTGAGAGAAGTTTTTCAGGAAATCTATACTGTGACTCTTATAACCTGCAGTTCTAGGCCAGAGTACTAACCCAGAGGTTCCATATGTCAGGTCTGGCTACTCATCCCATTACCTAAATATGAATACCCAATACCAAATGAAGAGATGATTAGTGATGAAGAGCAGAAAATGGAGATTTATTATGTGGCACAGGCATGCTACAGGAAGAGGCAAAGTAAGAACTCCAGCCATCTGTGTGGTATAGACATGAGCTTTAGGTTTAAGTAGAGGAAGAATTGGGTCAGGGGCCAAAAGGTATACATAATTAAACAGTCTCAGTCAAAGTGTTGCCTGATTAGTTGTTATCAAGAGGGAAAGAAGTTGTTATCATTGTCATCATTTGAGGGGGACAATCTGGTCACTACAAAAAGGTTGTTGTTTAGTTCTCGTAGCCAAATTCAATTCTTGTCACAAAGTTATCAATCAGACCAGTAAAATCATCTACACAGCGATAGTTGGCCTAAAAGCAGCTACCAATTAAGAAAGCATTCCAGGAAGCATTCCTTCCTGGAATCCAAGGTGACTTTGAAGTGACTGGAGAGAGAATGGCTCTGAACAGGAAATAGGTGTAAAATGGAGGTAGGAATGATAAGCTTTTTAATGCTGTTTCCAGTTAACTTGTGTTCCCAAGTAAGCAGTAAGTGCTTTTTAGCAAAAGCAGATTCTAAGTATTTGTTTACTCCTTCAAGTATCTTATTTTTGAAGCCAGCCTTGATCACATTTTCTCAGGAAGGAGGGCTAAGAGATATTCTGGTCCCAGCTTTTCTTTGCTTC